TAGGAAAGAGGATGTGCAGATTACAGATAATTCTGTGAAACATTCCTAGATTTCATTTTTTAAAAAAAAATTATTTGAAATGCAGAGGCATAGAAAGAGAAGGATGGAGGAGAGAGAGAGCTGGGGGGGTCTTCCGTCTGTTGGTTCACTCCCTAAATGGCCACACGGCTACAGCTGGGCTGATCTGAAGCCAGGAGCTGCTTCTGGGTCTCCCATGTAGGTGCAGGGGCCCAAGGAGTTGGGCCATATTCCACCCTCCTTGGTCTGAAACCCTTAGGATTCATTCTCATACATGTGCCTTGTTTTTCTTATGGAAGTTGGTGTTATTTTATCATGTGAAGTTTTTTCTGTAGCATTATAGTGTGCAAGGTCACTTCAAAGCATTTGTGGGAAATGGAATTGCAAGACAAGTTTTTGGTGCAAAAATTTTTGAAATTCAAGCAGTTTTTTCATAATACACTTTTCCATGATTTTTTAAAAAAATTTGAAAGGGGGTGTTAGTTACAGAGTCAAATCTTCCATCTGCTGGTTTGCTCCCTAAACGGCTGCAACAGCCAGGCCTGGGCCAGGCTGAAGCCAGGACGCAGGAGCTTCTGGGACTGCCATATGGGTTGCAAGGGCCCAAGTGCCTGGACCATCTTCCATTGCTTTTCCAGGCATGTTAGCAAGGAGTTGGATGGGAAGTGGAGCAGCTGGGACACAATCCACTGTGGGTGGATTGTGCAGGACCTCTTAACTCGCTGTACCACAATGCCGGCCCCACCGTGGATCTTTTGAGGACTGCTCATATATGTGGGTTTCAAATATGAGCATGTTCCTGAATGTTGCACTAGACAAGAGCAGATGGTTGTATTGTGTTTTTAGGAGAATGTGCATTCCCTTCCAAGTTAACTGTCCTTAATTCTGTGTGGTTATCCCAGAATTTTCAAATAGAGAACATTTATCAGAAACTAAAGGCAAGCTACTTCTCTTGTAAGGGAGGCTCAGACTTTTTTTGGTCTTGACGTTGTGAGCATCCAAGTTCTAGATGCTCCTGTTCCAGTTTTACACACTCATTCTCTGGTTACATTGTGAAAAATGTAAAGCTTCCAGTGGGCATCCCATGGAACAAGCTTAAGGCTCCTGCTCAGGTGACCAGATGTGCCAGTGTGATAGGCCTGGGGTCTGCTACACATTTTTGTCCCCTTCCTCTCACACTGACCTACTTAACATTAAGCTCGAATCCACCTGTGAAATTGCTAAGCTTTTGCTTCTGTGCTGCCTCCATATCCCCTATAATGACACGTGCCCAGGGAGCCTGCTGCTTGGTGCTTCCTGCATTATGGTCCCCTAGTCATGCCACTCAACCTCCTCTAAGACCCATGAGTGTAATTCCCCTAATTTCATATGCCTCTCCAAATATCATTTCCATGACCATATTTGGGAGTGATCTTGATAGATCCCAGAAAAGAGGATATACTGCCCCATGTATTATGCAGTTGGCAAGAAGATGACATCCATTCTAGACTGGGGGAGCAAACTCCCTTGGAGAAACGCTTTGATACCTTGGCTTTCTAACTTGGTACCTGTTGTTTCTTCTGCCGGGGAAGGCTGTTTTTGGCATTTATGTTTGGCCTCTTTATGTTGCCTTTTGCAAATGTTACCAAGAGTCTTCATCCTAAGGTTCAGATCTTCTGCCAGTCTCAATACTGCCCTCTAGGACACTGCTTACCAACCAGGATTCTGGGAAAATGAGGTAATTACCCTGTGGCTCTCGAGGATTTGGAGTCATGGGTTATCCTATGGATGGAGGCGCCCCAGAGAAATTGAGACATTTTGCACCTGTCCCCTCCCCTCTTATTAATCAGAAACTGAAACCAATGGCCCAGGTCTCAGGTGGCTAAAAGCATGATTCAGAAATATGATTGGGGAGGAAAAAGCCAAATGCCAGTTAGAGGAATGATAATGGTAGCTACAGATTAGTTATTGCTCTGAAAGCAAGCTTCTGGGTGCCAGGAGAGGAAATATAAGGGAACTTAATAGCATAATGAAATTTATTGCAAATGATATAAATATTGTATAACTTTTACATAACTTGGAAGAAATTTCTATCATTGGGTCCTATTGGAAATCCATAGTTTATATACTAAGTGTATAACAAAAGAAAAAAAGCATTATTTGTTTATTGTACTTGTATAGGAGCCAGGAGCCTGAAACTCCAGCCAGGTCTCCCACATGGGTGGCAGGGGCACAAGTATTTGGTCCATCTGCTGCTGCTTACCCAGGTGCATTAGCAAGAAGCTGGATGGGAAGCAGAGTAGCTAGGACTCAAGCCAGCACTGCAGTATGGGATGCTGGTATTACAGGGGGCAGTTTAGCCTACTGTGCCTCAAAGCAAGCTCCCCCAGAAATTATTTTTAAAAATAAATTCCTTGTGCTATGTAATAAATATTTTGTATACCAAAAGTTGAAAAGTTAATATGGCAAAATAGGTATTGATAGAGGCTTAAAACACATTTGGTTATTTATATGAACTTTTTAAAGATTTGTTTATTTGAAAGGCAGAAATCATGGCAACAATGGTCAGAGCTGTCCCAGGCCAAAGCTAGTAGCCAAGAGCTTTACCCAGGTCTCCCATGTGGGTGCAGGAGCCCAAGCTCTTGGGCTGGCCTCTGCTACTTTCCCAGGCACTTAAGCAGGGAGCTGGATCAGAAGTGGAGCAACTAAGACTCAACCCAGGGACCATATGGGATGCTGGCATTGCAGGTGGCAGCTTAACTTGCTGTGCCACACCATATGAACTTTTTTTTTTTTTTTTAACAGGCAGAGTGGACAGTGAGAGAGAGAGACAGAGAGAAAGGTCTTCCTTTGCCGTTGGTTCACCCTCCAATGGCCGGCGCGGCTGGCGTGCTGAGGCCGGCGCAACGCACTGATCTGAAGCCAGGAGCCAGGTGCTTCTTCTGGTCTCCCATGGGGTGCAGGGCCCAAGCACTTGGGCCATCCTCCACTGCACTCCCTGGCCACAGCAGAGAGCTGGCCTGGAAGAGGGGCAACCGGGACAGAATCTGGCGCCCCAACCGGGACTAGAACCCGGTGTGCCGGCACCGCTAGGTGGAGGATTAGCCTATTGAGCCGCGGCGCCGGCCCATATGAACTTCTTAATAAGATGATATTGCAGGCCGGCGCCGCGGCTCAATAGGTTAACCCTCTGCCTGCAGCGCTGGCACACTGTTTTCTAGTCCCGGTTGGGGCGCCAGATTCTGTCCCAGTCGCTCCTCTTCCAGTCCAGCTCTCTGCTGAGGCCTGGGAGTGCAGTGGAGGATGGCCCAGGTCCTTGGGTCCTGCACTCACATGGGAGACCAGGAGAAGCACCTGGCTCCTGGCTTCAGATCGGCGTGATGTGCCGGCCGTGGTGGCCATTGGAGGGTGAACCAACGGCAAAAGGAAGACCTTTCTCTCTCTCTCTCTCTCTCACTGTCCACTCTGCCTGTAAAAAAAAAAAAAAAAAAAAAAAAGGAGAGAGAGAGATTTTCTTTTTAAAAAAGGATTTAAGGGGGCCAGCGCTGTGGTGTAGCAGGTAAAGCCGTCACCTGCAGTGCCAGCATCCCATATGGGCACTAGTTCCAGTCCCGGCTGCTCCACTAACGATCCAGCTCTCTGCTACGGCCTGGGAAAGCAGTAGAAGATGGCCCAAGTGCTTGGGACCCTGCACCCACGTGGAAGACCTGGAAGAATCTCCTGGCTCCTGGCTTCAGATCAGCGCAGCTCTGGCTGTTGCAGACATTTGGGAATTGAAGCAGTGGATGGAAGCCCCCCACCCTCCCGTGTCTGCTTCTGTGTAACTCTGCCTTTCAAATAAACCATACTTTTCACTTTTCTTTTTTAGATGAGCTTTATGTAAATATGTTTTCATAATTTGTAATCTCTTCATTTAAAACTATACAGTTCAATTTTTTTTTAAAATATGGTGTGCTATGCAACAATCACAATTTTAGAAAATTTTTCATAACAGCAAAAGAACATTTGGATGTCAAACCCCTCCCTTCTCCCATTAACTTAACTTCTTGGGCCATCTTCTACTGCTTTTCCAGGCCATAGCAGGGAGCTGGAAGGGAAGTGGGGCAGTCGGGACTGGAACGGCACCCATATGTGATGCCGACACTGCAGGTGGTGGCTTTACCTGCTATGCCACAGCTCCGGCCCCACAGTGTTTTGAAGTACTCTCCAAGGGACATAGTCAGATGGCAGCCAAAATTCGCTGAAACGTGGCTGCTGTGATCGGCTGAGACTCAGTGCTTGTTTACAGGGTATACTCTTAGGTTACAATTTGTTTACACTTCAAGATGTGTTATAGTTCATTATGTACATGAATAATTATTGATAAAATATGTTGGTGTAATGGCGTTCAAAGTAATTTTTTTTAACTTCACCCAGACCATCTATCCAAAACCGCAGCAAAAATGATTACCAGGAAAACTTTTATCTTTTTTTTTTGACAGGCAGTTACCAGGAAAACTTTAAAACCCTTGTTGCCTAAGTGAAAATGCCTGGTATCAGTGCTATTTTATAATGCCGAATGGGAGGCCGTGGACTTAATCCCAGAAATAAATACAAAGTCATATTTGAAGAAGTAAAAATATTGAAAACTTAAAAAGGATCAGTGCATTGGAAATACAAAGACTCAATTTACTAGAGTTTTTTCTGATGTCCACATTAATAAAAAGAATGGGGAAATAACTAAGTGGACAACGGAATAAAGAACATAGACCATTTCAGGGACTGGTCAGTTTGTCAAAGGCACCAATCAGTGTAGGGGCTGTAGGAACAGGTGTAAGAGCGGGCAGGTGGACAGGGTCTCGCGAGCATCTCCAGCCCCGCCCCCGGGTCCCACCACTGGCCAGAGCCCCGCCCACAGGCCTGGATCTGACCGCAGCCCGAGGCCCGGAGCCCGCCCACCCAGCACGAAGGCGGAAGCGGAAGTGAGGCAGGCGCCCTGCGCCGTCTCTTCCGGCCGCGTCTCCGCCCAGTGGGCGGTCGTCGGCCTTTCCCGCGTGGGGGTGCCGCTGCGTGGGGGGCTGGGGCGGCGGTGGCGGAGGGTGCGGGAGGGACCCCCGAGGCTTCCTCCTGAGGGCTTGGCGGACGGCGGCGACTGCCTCTTCGGAAGCCTCCAAAGCAGTCGTTGGGATTTTGTTTCATTTTCCCCCGAAGAAGGAGGAATCTGCGTCCGTGGCGTGTGCCCGTGCGTGCCCGGCTGCTGCGGATCTCGCGGTCCCGGCACCTGAGGTGAGCGCTGTGGGCGGAGCTGGCCGCCGCCCCCCGTGCTCGTGAGCAGTGTTTCGTCTGAGAATTTGCCTCCCTCGCTGCGTGTCCCTAGGTTAATTTTTAACGCGTTAAGTTCAAAGTGAAATATAAAGCTACTTTTTTTTAGATGTCCAGGCTGTGCATGTTTCTGTTTGGATGTAAATGTGTGCAGACCACGAGGCATCTGTGGCTGCAAACTTGCAACTTCCAACTGCTTTTGCAGTGTGTTGTATTCACATTCTCCTTTGTGTGAAGATAGATCTTTGTGCCTCGCCTGATACTCTCATCGGTTGCTCAGGAGTGTGTGTATGTCTGCCTATTTGTGAATTCCCCAGTTGTCCTCCCATCTCGATTTCTAGTGTTAATCATTGTAGTTGGAAAAGACACCTGCTGTAATTTCTATCTTAAGATTGTTTTGTGCCGCAGATAAAAAAAAATTAAAAAAAAAAAAGAAGATTGTTTTGTGGTCCGACATAGGATTTATCCTGGAGAATGTTCCATGTGCACTTGAGAAGAATGTGCATTTTGCTGTTGGATAGAATTTTCTGCGCGTGTTCAGTACTTTTGGTATAAACTGTACTCTGAGTTCAGTGGTTCCTCATTTTCTGTCTGGATGACCTGTCAGTTATTGAAAGACTGGGTATGGAAGTTCCCTGCTGTTATTGTCTTCTAGTATCTTTCTTCACATCCATAAATTTAATTATATATTTAGGCCGGCGCCGCGGCTCACTAGGCTAATCCTCCGCCTGCGGTGCCGGCACACCGGGTTCTAGTCCCGGTCGGGGCACCGGATTCTGTCCCGGTTGCCCCTCTTCCAGGCCAGCTCTCTGCTGTGGCCAGGGAGTGCAGTGGAGGATGGCCCAAGTGCTTGGGCCCTGCACCCCATGGGAGACCAGGAAAAGCACCTGGCTCCTGCCTTCGGATCAGCGCGGTGCGCCGGCCGCAGCGCACCGGCCGCGGCGGCCATTGGAGGGTGAACCAACGGCGAAAGGAAGACCTTTCTCTCTCTCTCTCTCTCACTGTCCACTCTGCCTGTCAAAAAATTTAAAAAAATTGTTAAAAAATTATATATTTAGGCTCTCTGATGCTGGTGGTGTATATATATTTCAGTTCTGTCTTCATGATGAATGGATCTTTTTATCATGGTGTAGTGACTGTGTCTCCTTTTATAGTCTTTTTTTTTTTATTTTTTATTTTTTTTTTTTATTTTTGACAGGCAGAGTGGACAGTGAGAGAGAGAGACAGAGAGAAAGGTCTTCCTTTGCCGTTGGTTCACCCTCCAATGGCCGCCGCGGCCGGCGCGCTGCGGCCGGCGCACCGCGCTGATCCGATGGCAGGAGCCAGGAGCCAGGTGCTTTTCCTGGTCTCCCATGGGGTGCAGGGCCCAAGCACCTGGGCCATCCTCCACTGCACTCCCTGGCCACAGCAGAGGGCTGGCCTGGAAGAGGGGCAACCGGGACAGAATCCGGTGCCCCAACCGGGACTAGAACCCGGTGTGCCGGCGCCGCTAGGCGGAGGATTAGCCTAGTGAGCCGCGGCGCCGGCTCCTTTTATAGTCTTTGACCTGTAGTCTATTTTATCTGATGAAAATATAGCTACCCCTGATTTTGTTCGGTTTCCATTAGCATGGAATGTCTTTTCCCTTTCTTTCCGTTTTTTTTTTTTTTTTAATATTTATTTATTTGAAAGGCAGAGTTACAGAGAGGCAGAGAGAGAGAGAGGTCTTCCATCTGCTGGTTCACTCTCCAGATGGCCGCAATGGCTGGAGCTGGGCCAATCCAAAGCCAGGAGCCAGAAGTTTCTTCTGGGTCTCCCAGAAGACCCACATCTCCCAATCATTTCTACCATCTTTCACTGCTTTCCCAGGCTATAAAAGGAGAGCTGGATTGAAAGGGGAGGTGCTGGGACTTGAACTTGCGCCCATATGGGATGATGGTGCCGCTGGCGGAGGCTTAGCCCACTGAGTTACAGTGCCTGCCCCCCTTTCACTTTTTTTAAAATAAATTTTTATTTATTTGTTTTTATTTGAGAGAAAGACAGAGTTCGTCTACCAGGTAATTCATTCCTTAAATGCTCACACAGGTCTGTACCAGTCCAAAGCCAGGAGCCTGGGACACAATTCAGATCTCTCACTTGGGTGGCAGGGACCCGTTTACTTGAGCCATCACTGCTTGTCAGTGCACACATTGGCCAGAAGGTAGAATCAGAAGCAGAGCTGGGATTTGTACCTTGGCACTCCGATGCCTGGTATGGGTGTCCCAAGCAGCATGTTAATTGTGGTCTCCAGTGCCTTTTCCCATCCTTGTAGTTTCACAGTGTGTGTCCTGAAAGATGAAGTCCCTGGTCAGGCCATGTCATTATCTTGTTTGTTAATCCATGTAGCTGTCTGTGTTGGATTGGAGAACTTAATTCATGTACATTCATGGTGATTATTGGTAGGTAAGGACCTACTGGTGCCATTTTATTAATTGTTTTCTAGTTGCTTTGTACATCCTTCTCCCTCTCTTTCCGACTGCCTTTGTGATTAGATTCTTTCTCTAGAGATGTGCTTTGATTTTTTTAAAACTTATCATTTGTATATCCTATAGGATTTTGCTTTGTGGTTACCATGAAGCTTACAGAAGACATCTTGATGTCATCACAGGGTATTTATTGATAAAATTTTAATTTTTTGAAGATATTTTATTTATTTTTTTGAGAGGTAGAGTTAGAGAGAGGGAGAGACAGAGAGAGAGAGATCTTCCATCCACTGGTTCACTCTTCAAATGGCTGCAATGGCTGGAGCTGCACTGATCCGAAGCCAGGAGTTAGGAGCTTCTTCCAGGTCTCCCATGCCAGTGCAGGGAGACGTGGACCATCTTCTACTGCTTTTCCAGGCCATAGCAAAGAGCTGGATTGAAAGAGGTGAACTGGTGTCATATGAGATGGTGGCGCTGCAGGAAGAGGATTAGCCCATTATGCCACAGCACTGGCCCCGAAATTTTAATTTTGATTGCATAAAATAACTCCACTTTTCCTGAACTCTCACATCCTATTTTATTGGATTCACAATTTTTGTTGTGTATCCCTTAACAAATTATTGTAGGTATCTTTTTTAGATTTACTTATTTATTTTTTAAAGATGTATTTATTTATTTGAACGTCAAAGTTACACAGTGGCAGAGAAAGAGAAAAGAGAAAGGTCTTCCATTTGCTGGTTTACTCCCCAATTGGCCGCAATGTCCATCTGGAGCTGTGCTGATCTGAAGCCAGGAGCTTCTTCCGGGACTCATGCGGGTGCAGGATCCTGAGGACTTGGGCCATCTTCTACTGCTTTCCTAGGCCATAGCAGAGAGCTGGATTAGAAGTGGAGCAGCCTGAACTTGAACCAGCACCCTTATGGGATGCTGGCACTGCAGGAGGCGGCGTTACCTGCTAGTCCACAGTGCCGGCCCCTTAAGATTTATTTATTTATCTGAAAGCAGAGTTACAGAGAGAGGGAGAGATATTTTTCACCCACGGGTTCACTTCCCAAATGGCTGCAATAACTGGAGCTGGGCCAGGCCCAAGCCAGGAGCCAGGAGCTTCTTCCAGCTCTCCCACATGGGTGCAGGGGCCCGAGGACTTGGACCATCCTCCACTGCTTTCCCAGGTGCATTAACAGGGAGCTGGAAGGGAAGTAGAGCAGCCTGGACTGGAACTGGCACCCATATGGGATGCCAGCACTGCAGGCCATGGCTTAACCCATTGTGCCACAGCATCTGTCCCTATTGTAGCTATTTTTATTTGATAATAGAGAAACTTTATATGTGAGTAATGTAATTGTGCTGTTCTTAGACAAATTGGGAAGGCTGTAATTTACCCTTTTGAAGCAGAAATAAACTTGACATTTTTAAATACAGGGACACCTTAAATATTACAAAGTATGGCGTGAAACAAAAGTAAACATTAAGGAATAAATTGTTCTATCATTCAAGAAAATAGAAATACTAATGCTAACTTTTTGCTCATAGTAAACTGAAACATACAAACTTAGCATTTTAATAAATCTGGGATGGGGCCGACGCTGTGGTGTACTGGGTATAGCCTCTACCTGCAGTGCCGGCATCCCAGATGTCACTGGTTCAAGTCGCTGCTGCTCACTTCCAATCCAGCTCTCTGCTGTGGCCTGGGAAAGCAGTGGAAAATGGCCCAAGTCCTTGGGCCCCTCCACCTACATTGGAGACCCAGAAGAAGCTCCTGGCTCCTGGCTTCGAAGCGGCACAGCTCCGGCCATTGTGGCCATCTAGGGAGTTAACCAGCAGATGGAAGACCTTTCTCTCTGTGCCTCTGCCTCTCTGTAACTCTGCCTTTCAAATAAATAAAAAAATCTTTAAAAAAAAAATCTGGAATGCCTACCAATTATCTCACTTGCTTCTATGTAACATTATTCCATTTTCGATAGTTTTATGTTTTAATCTACATAGTAATGAGTTAAATGTTTCACAAAACATCATTAAAGTATTTTGTGATTTACTGTGTTTAATTTTACTTGTAAATTTTATACTCTCATATGTTTTCCAGTTATTTAGCATCTGTTTTTTTTCAACATGAGAAACTCATTTTAGGTTTTTTTTTTTTTTTTTTTTTTTTTTTAAGATTTCTTCATTCAGAAACCAGTGACTTTCAGCTTTGGTTATAGACAGTAAAGAACTGAAGTGCTCACTACTCAGTGATTTGAAAATGTTAATGCTAAAAAAAAAAAAAAAAGAAAATGTTAATGCTGGGGCTGGCTCCATGGCACAGCTGGTTAATCTGGTCCCGGCTCCCCCTCTTCCTGTCCAGCTCTCTGCTGTGGCCTGGGAAAGCAGTGGAGGATGGCCCAAGTGCTTGGGCCCCTGCACCTGCGTGGGAGACCAGAGGAGGCGCCTGGCTTCTGGCTTCGGATCGGCACAGCTCCAGCCATTGCGGCCGATTGGGGAGTGAACCAATGGAGGGAGGACCTTTCTCTCTGCCTCTCCCTC